CATCATGGCTGCTGGCTCGTAGTTTCCATATACTAGGTTTCGTCAATCTTTCTTGTTGACATGACAACATTCACAGTATTAAACAAAAAGGCGTACGAAACGCGCGATAGTCAAAGAGGAGAAGAACCGCCTTTCTAATCGGGCCGGAACACCATACGTCATGCGAACAAGAAAAGTCTGTAAACACCCGCCTGCTAATCGTCCAAACGCCAATATGGAAAAATAACAAGACCCTCATCAGGTTCATGGTCCAAGCTCACTTCTTTTGTTGCGTGTTTGGAGCGGAGGCGACGCCAGCGCCTGGCTCCAGAGTATGGTCGTGGTTGTCACATCGGAGCACTCGTCCACCCTCTTCTTGCGTGCACACTGCACTACCAGTGACCCACTTGTCTTCGAGGATCTCGTCAAGAGTTGCGCGTTTCTTCGGATCAATTTCCAGCATTCGGCCGATGATGTGCCTGCTCTCTCTCGGTAGCAGACGGAGAAGGCGCCACGGGCCTTTGATCACTTGAGGCGGTTGCTGACCAGTCGACGATGTTGAAGCGCGATTGTCGGCCGAAGAATGCTCTGAAGTTTGGTTACGAGATGCAGGCTCTGATTGTGACCCTGACTGACGGCGATCGTCACCGGCGCTGCTCTGGAGGTCAGTGGCCGACTTCGAGGGGCCAGTAATCGATCTCGGTCCATCGTTAGGAGGCGAGACGAAGAGCTTATACGAGTTGTCGGAGACGCGTGGGGCTTTCCACGGGAATCGACGGAGCGTCATACAGCAAAACATGATAGCAAGAGACCAGATGTCGGTCGGTTGCGGATCGTATTTGGAAAGGTCGTACACTTCTGGAGCGAGGTACGGATCTGATCCAACGATACCTGGAGGGATTAGAACAAGCTTCCAAAGACGACATAGTAGACTTACCACTTGCAAGGACAATCTCGTCCTCGAAAGGATACTTGAAGACAGCAGCACTTCCGAAGTCGATAATCTTCATGATTCCGTGCTCGTTGACGACGACATTGTCTAGCTTTAGATCTCGATGTGCCAAGCCCATGCTGTGAAGGTACGTAACTCCGTTCAGGATTTGTAGGGTACAGCAAGTGACCTCTTCGCGGCTCATCTTTCCCGTCATCACTATAGCGAAAAGGTCGAAAGGTGCGTATTCCATCACAACGAAGTAAGCGCCCTTTTCGTTCACCAGATCCATGGTCTCGATGATGTTTCCGTGGTGCAGCGTCGAACCTATACAGAACTCGGCAGTCACCTTCTTGTTGTAGTCTTTTTCAGACTCGTACGAATGCCTGTTCCGGAACTGCTTTACAGCGAATGTGGTGCCGTCGCTACTTCGCTTCATGAGTCGAACAGAGCCACCAGCACCTGAACCCAGCACTTTTCCAAACTTCCCGTACTTGCTCTGGAGGCCGTGGTCGTCGGCGAAAGGTACGCTCATCGCCCCGTTTGTGATGGGTGGTGTCATGGTCCCTGACTTGTTCGACTTGATCTTTTGGCTTTTGATAGACGGCGCAGGCGACTCTTTCCGCTTCTCCTTCTCTTTGTCCTTGTCCTTCTTGTGTCCAATCTTGAAGAAGCGCTTGAGTTCAGACATGGATCCGTGGTTGTGTTTGCCTATTTGTGATTTGCTGTCCTCCACGTCAGAGTGAGCTTTCGTCTTTTTTCCAAATATGCTCGTTCTCTTGCTCTCCTCCTTGTCAGAGTCGGTTCCCCTGGAGCGTGGTAGTTGATATGTGGATGACGCTGCTGAATTACGCCCATCGCGGCCACCGTAAATGTATCGGGCTTCGAGCGAATCCAGATTCCTCGATTGCGCTGCGCGTTTGGAGCGGGCATAGGTATCGTCTCTATCTCCCTGTGGTGTAAATGGCCGGGAGCCAGATGCCGGGGTCGACGTTCCAGGCGTTCGCTCTCCACCGGATCCAGCCGGACTAGCATCCCGGGAGGCCGGGTTTGAGTCACCAGCAGGGCCCATTGTGAAGGCAGGACCGCGTCTTGGGTGCGGCTGTACCACGCCGGACAGATCTGACGAGGGTCGAGGGGATTGTGGTGCGGTTTTGGGAGAGCCAGGAACAGGCAGTGAAGATTGGCTATCGTTTGGATTTTGCACAGATGAGTCCATGGACGTTGGCGGAGCTTCATGCGGGGGTGAGACCTGGGGTGTCATCATAGCCGGATCACTCGGGCGCTTTCTGTGTCCCTCTGTGTTAGCTCTCTCTTCTCGAGACGACGTGCCTGCTGGTGTCAAGGGTGGAGAGTGCATGGCGGATGCAGGTGACCCCGGAATGGAAGAACGGTGTCCTGAGTGTGCTGAAGCTGTTCGTGAGGCTGGAGAGGGAGAAGGTGCCTTGGGAAGGTTAGCGGAGTGTTGATAGGCCATGGGCTAGTTCATGAGGCTTGCTTACTCGAGAGGGCGGAAGTGAGACAGGTTCGAAGGAGAAGTTTTCCATGCGCTTGGCCTGCATCCGTGACTTTTGGAGCGTGGACGACAGATTGCGTAGCTCTTCCTCAGCTTGAGGGCTCAATGGGCCATCGTTGGGTGCCTTGTCGGTGCCCGTGAGCTCCGCGACATCCCTCACGGCCTCTTCTGGTTCAATTTCCTGGGTGACATCGCTGAAGCGGACGGACTGCGCAGGGGGCGTCTCCGTCATGGTGGGTGATGGTTGTTGGGTGTGAGTGTGAGGTGAATGTTCTGTCATAGAGGGTCAGCTCCCCTAGCCCAGGCCATGACGAAAGACGCAGATGTCTAGGTCGGATAGCTCTAGCTTACTTGAGTGGATTCGTGATGCGCGTCGCCCAGAGCTCCGTCACAGCGCCCTTGCAGCTCGGATCTAGGGTCCAGATGGGCACGCGGAAAAGGCGGAAAAGATGACGATAGCAATGCGCGCAGTGGTGATGCCGGAGAGGGAGGAACCAGATGCAATGCTCGAGTCGTGTGCCTGACTACAAAGCATCGAGAATCGTCATCGGAGACTAGAGTAAAGAAGCCCCGCGCTAGTCGGCGATTGCGTGCAACCAATTCGCCCGTAAAACCGCGGATGTGCGGAATCTGGAAGGGGCCTGCTGCTGCTGGGGGATTGGTCCTATGTATATGCGAGAGAAGACAGCAGGTCGGCGTCGGGCGTGAACAGCGACAAGAAATTGATCTTCGGAGGGGTTGACGATACTCCATAGGTGCTACCTCGAAAGGCACAGGGCGCGCGGGTTGCCCAATTCGTTCAACATCGGGAAGCTACGGCTAAGCCTCTCCCATGCACCGCCGCCTCAACTCCCATGTCGGCAGCGTCTTTGGCATCTTCAACGAACACGCCAAAGATCCTCCCCAAGCACCGAGGTCCCTCAGACCCCGACAGCACCATCTCGTGATACCCCCGCAGCATATCAACGCCCACCAAGTGTCCCGACCGTCTGTTCTGACGTCGCCCTTGGACGTCGCTGTACCTACCTGCTCCCGGCCGTGCTCTCGTCACCCCGAAAATTTCAGATCCAGACCTGTTGAACAGAACCTTTCCAGAGTTTTTTCTGCCCTCCTCCAATCAAACCTCGTGACCGCCTTTACCTACGCACCTCTGTTATTTTTGGATAGTGCCCCGACCTGCCCTCAACATGTTCAGCTGGGCCAAGTCAACGTGAGTGCTACCCTCGCCCCCACACGTGCCTGCGCGACCGTGGCGTACACCGTGTAGTCGTAGAGGACGCGTACTTACAAATGTAGACTAGCCGCGGTTGCCGGCACCCAGGAGCCCGAATACGGCCCCGATGCCATCCAGCCCGTGGGCAAGAAGGGTGGTGAGCCCGCCTACACGGAGCTGACCAAGAAGGACCTCAAGTGGGTGACGCTCGACTACACCAACGTCGAGACCCAGACCTTCTACCTCTTCACCGATGCCGGTCACAAGGGCTTCCTGCAGGTCATCTACAACAACGTCGCGTGAGTGCCCTCTGCCTGTCTAGACGACCACAGTACTTACAGCTTGCAGCGGCCTACGAGTGACCGTGCAGTTCAACTGCAAGCTCTTTTACCCCAACAGCGAGAAGCCTTTCCTATGGGCAAGTGACCCCGTTTCAAACTACGGCTTCGACGAGGACCAGCATTCCTTCTACGCCGACGGCGTCTCAATCGAACTCTCCGAAGATGGCAACGCGTACACCATCAAGGCGGCTGTGAACGACAACAGCATGGTCAACGTCAAGTTCACCAGGACTGCTCCCGGCTTCATGGGCGGAAAGGACGGCACAACCAATTACGGCACCGATCCGAAGGCGCCGTGGGGCTTCATGCACCACCACTTCTGGCCGCGATGCAGCGTTGAGGGTACCATCATCACCAAGGAGGGAGAGGTCGACGTCAAGGGTCGCGGCATGTTGAGCCATGCTGTCCAAGGAATGAAGCCACATCACGCTGGTAAGCATCTTGTCAAGTATGCAAACGCTTCCGACTAACATACATAGCTGCGCGATGGAACTTCGTCAACTTCCAATCACCATCATACTCTGCCATCCTCATGGAGTTCACCACTCCCGCTTCTTACGCATCGACTGTAGTCCGAGTCGCCGGAATTGCAACCGATGACAAACTTCTTTTCGCCAACACCGAAGGCGACGTGAAGCACACCGAGACCAAGCAAGACGAGACCGGCTGGCCGGAGCCCACCTCGGCGAGCTACCACTGGGTGGGAAAGACCGAGGATGGCAAGGAAGTCACTGCAGACCTTTCTGGTGCTCTGGGAAAGACCATCGACCGTGTCGATGTTATGGCTGAAGTGCCAGGTTTCATCAAGACCATCGTCGCAAGCGCAGCTGGCACAAAGCCGTACATCTACCAATATGCGCCCAAGATGACCATCAAGGTCAAGGTTGGCGATGAGGTCAAAGAAGAGGAGGGTACTCTGTTTACTGAGGCGACATTCATTTCGTAGAGATGGTCTCAAGGTTGGATACAAGGACCCTACGATCACGTATACCCTAGTATTAATAATGCATCAGGGCTAGCACCTGGAACCTAATGAGTAACGTTTGCCGCGCACAGGATGCATGATGTTTAGCGACTTTGTGCAGATAAACATGGCCGCCACTGTCTATGATACTTCACCGCTAAAGTTTGACCTAATCTCACCTCGCGTTTGTTGTCGACAAGAGAAGATAGTACCCCGCTGCGATACCCCGCGTCCCTTCACCGCACCCACTCTCACCTGATAACGCGGACGCGTCTCAGCGCGTGGCGTTGCGGCCCGTGCCCAAGCCACACCAACACAGTGCTTCCGTCATCGCTCGTTCTACCTGAGCATAACACCATTAATGCAGCAGCATGGTTAACGAAAGGCCCAGGCAGTTTGGCGGTCCATCCCGCTACGCGTCAGCACCTCGGCCGCAAGCAACAGGAACAACTGTTTCTACGTCACCAGCTGCTTCCAGAGCGGCAAGACTGGGGCTCGGGCTGGGTAAGGGCGCCGGCGGTATAGGGAAAGGAAATGGGTTAGGAAAAGGCGGACTTAAGCGTCACACGTGAGCTCACAGCTCATGCCCTAGATGATGCAAGGGCTGACATGTTGAAGGAAAATTCGGAAAGACAACATATACGGTATTTCGAAGAACGATATACGGTAAGTGGCCCCGGGTCACCGTCAGCAAGAGCGTGGGCAGTCTCGTTGCAGTATGCTGTTGCGTTTGAACACCGCGAAACCCGTGCGGTTACTTTGATTGACTTGTTCACTAACTTACACCTTAGCCGGCTAGCTCGCCGTGGCGGAGTGAAGCGCATTTCGGCAACAACATATGACGATATCCGTCAAGCTCTCAAGGAGAGGCTGCACCAGGTCAGTTGATCTGTACGAGTAGCTGCATACAGACACTAACGGACTATCAGATATTGAAAGATGTATGCGCCATCTTGGACTCAAGTGGGCGCCAAACTGTCACGGTCACTGATATCGTCTTCACCCTTCGACGAGTAAGTTTATGTTCCAGAGCTTGATTGTTGCCATTAATGATTTTTATAGCTTGGTACGCCCCTCTACGGTTTCGAGCCCGCTTTCCTCAATGTTCGCTGAGTGCATATTGTCCATAAGCACACTGTGCGGTGGCAGGACAAAGGACAAGTTCTATATTCAGGAATAGGCGCTTCCCTTCCTTACTAGCGATGATACCCAAATGATAACTTGCATATCCAACAACCATGTCCGTCAATTACCACTTTTGAATAGCCTTCTTCACTGACTCCATCTGCTCGTCCCAGTTTTCTTCGTTTGCCTCTTCGTCCCAGCGTGTCTTATACCATCGGTTCAACGCCTCCAACCACTTCATGACATCCCCTCGCATCATCGCCGCCCCGCATTTATTTCTCTTCCATGCCTTTTCCACACATCCCATCGTTAGCACCATAGCATGATGGTTGAGAAACCATTTTAACACCGCCTGCTCTTGTAGACCCGGCAACCCAAAAGGATTATGGAATGGCGACTGCTCAAATGTGTAAGCCCACCTGATATCTTTTTGTGGCGATCTCGAACACCAAAGGAACCACGAAGCTAGCCGGCAGAACACAAGAAAATGGGATTTATGTAGGTCAGAGGGTACTGTGTAAATATTTCCAAAGGGCTGGCATGCTTTCCAGTGATCTTGCATGTATCCATCAATCAACCAGCCTTTGGGTGGATACGTGAAGGTATTCTTTACGCTCGGTAAGACGTTAATTTCTAAATGTCGGTTCCGGGATAACAGCAGAGCGCGATGCTGTTTTGGTAGTTCATCCAGCCATTTCATAACAGGATAGAAGTTGAGGTTCCGGACTGTAAACTTGAAGGCTGTGCTGGTGTAGTAGTCGTATGCCGCCTCTATCCTGATCGCACGGCAGATGTGGAGTAGGGGAGGTGGCCGTTGTTGTCCGTGTTTGAGGATTGCGGGCCAAGAATCAGAGATGTGATGTGTCATTGGTAAGACAAACATGTATATTAGGCTGCGTAGTTCGGATGGAAGGTCTGCTAAGAGGCATGGCTTGGAGACATCTTTGGGTTTGATAGGGTAGAGATCGCGATTGTAGATGAGCTGGTCTCTTGCCCGAGGTGTAAGAAGAGATGGTCGTTTGAGGGTTTTCTTCGGAGTCAGAGGATTTTGAGCGCGCTTTTCAGGTGTGGTGGAGATCTTTGCACTGTATGGCGAAGATTTCGTCGGTTCTGCTGTGGTATGGATAGTGCTCGATGATCTCGGGCTGGCTCTAGAGGCAGACGAGGTTGTGGCGCGAGCGTATGATGGGGTCGACATCACTGCAACGTTTTTCCGTGTAACCTTGAAAAGAGACGAAGCAGTAGTCGGATCCTGAGATATCACGTAGAAGCAGTTGCCACCTGGATGTGCCGCTTACACGCCCTGCTGCATCCAACTCTTTTCTCTACGCTATTTTGCCTTGGATTGCATCGAGCTGATTGTTGCTAAAAGTGTTATTTTGGGCGTACTCCTTCATCTCCTCAAAGCTTTGGATTTTGATGAATGATGACGCGTGATGAGGCTGAAGATGTGACGTTGGGAGAGGTGCCTGGCCACGTGAGAGCGCGAAAGTGGGGCATTTCATCCATCGCGCTTCCCGTTTGCCCACACCTCCGTCATGCATCACTCACCAGCATCACCCTAAATTATTATCCCGAATGCGCAGTTCGATTGGCAAAAATGACGGATGAAATGGAGCTTACGCCGCAGTCGCCACGTGGAATAAAGAGGAAAGGCGATGATAGTCTTCCACTTCCTGCGCCGCGCAGGATCAAGGCGCTTTCGCAAGACGTCGTTAACAAAATCGCGGCCGGAGAGATCATTGTCGCTCCAGTAAACGCGTTGAAAGAGTTGATTGAGAACGCTGTGGACGCAGGATCGACCGCATTGGAAGTTCTGGTCAAAGACGGCGGTCTCAAGTTGCTGCAGATCACCGACAATGGACACGGCATCGATGTATGTGTAGTCTCTCTCAGGATCGTCATATACTAACATTTCCTAGAAAGAGGACTTGCCAATATTGTGCGAACGTTTCACGACTTCCAAACTCAAAGCCTTCGAAGATCTGACCTCCATCGGCACGTATGGCTTTCGTGGCGAGGCGCTAGCGAGCATTAGCCACATTGCTCATCTCAAAGTCACGACGAGGACGAAAGAGTCAAGTTGTGCGTGGGAAGCTCACTTTGCCGATGGCAAGCTTTCAAGCGCGAAGCCCGGCCAGAGCGCAGAGCCCAAGCCCAAGGCCGGCCGACAGGGCACAATCATCACGGTATGTTCTTCTCAATTTGTGCCAATTGTGGTTGTAGCTCATGAAGTGTAGGTGGAAGACATGTTCTACAACGTTCCTTCACGACGCCGAGCTTTCCGCTCCGCCAGCGAAGAGTATGCAAAGATTCTCGAGCTTGTCGGAAAGTATGCTGTTCACTGCGCAGGTGTTGGTTTCTCCTGTAGGAAGGCGGGAGAAAACAGCGCAGGTGTAACAGTACCTGCTTCTGCTACTGTTAAAGACCGAATCCGGCAGATCCATGGCAGCGCTGTTGCGAACGAATTGCTATCCCTAAACGTCGAAGACGACCGCTGGGGCTTCAAGTGTAACGGTTGGGTCAGTAACGCAAACCACACGATCAAACGGACGCAGATGCTACTCTTCATCAACCACCGATCGGTAGAGTCATCGGTGATCAAAAAGAGTGTCGAACAGACTTATGCCACTTTCCTACCAAAAGGAGCACATGCATTCTTCTATCTAAGTCTCGAAATCGAGCCTCAACGAGTCGATGTGAATGTGCATCCTACCAAACGTGAGGTTCATTTTCTGAATGAAGACGAAATAATAGCTGTCATATGCGACTCGATCCGCGAAAGCTTGAGCAAGGTGGACACAAGCCGATCGTTCATGACTCAGTCGTTGCTTCCAAATCCCAAAGTCCCCTTCGCAACGCCCATGAAACAGATTATACCTTCGGTTCCTGCGACAGCTGATGCATCTGATCGCAGCGGCTCAAAGGCGCCGCAAACAGCGACCAAGAAACGAAATGATAATCACCTTGTCCGCACAGATGCCTCAGCACGCAAGATTACGTCCATGTTGCAGCCGCAGAAATCAGTCGAAGAGATTGCAATGGATGAAGAAGAAATGGAATATGAGCTCGCAGAAAAGGAACCAATAGCTTGTCGTCTCACGTCCGTCAAAGACCTTCGCGCAGAGGTTCGAGATGCCATGCACAACGAGCTTACGGATATTATCTCGACGCATACATTTGTTGGTATTGTTGACGAGCAGAAACGTATAGCAGCCATACAAGGCGGCGTCAAGCTGTTTCTGGTCGATTACGGCATGCTCTGCAACGAGTATTTCTACCAAGTTGGTCTCACGGATTTTGCCAATTACGGATCAATCCGCTTCAATCCGCCTTTATCACTACATGACCTACTCAAGGTTGCCGCAGAACAAGAGAAGACCAATGCAGGGGACGCGGCGGACGAGGTAGACTGGGATGAGGTTGTCGAGGTCGTCAAGGAGCAGTTGATCAGTAAGGCAGCGCTGCTAGGCGAATACTTCTCAATGGAGATCACCCCAGAAGGCGACCTTTGCTCTATTCCGTTGCTGATGAAGGACTACACCCCTTCTATGGCCAAACTTCCTCAATTCCTGCTACGCCTCGGACCACATGTTAACTGGAATGAGGAGAAGGGATGCTTCCAAACATTGCTGCGAGAGATTGCGTCCTTCTACGTACCTGAAAGTCTGCCTCTACCGCCATCAGCACAGAAGAGCGATGACAGCAAAGACAAGGGCACGGTTGCTGAAGAAGACATCGAGATTGCCATAAGGCGGAAGAAGCTACTGCGGGCAATCGAATACACCATATTCCCGGCCTGTAAGGCTAGACTAGTGGGCACGAAAGGGCTACTCATTGGGGGTGTGATGGAGGTCGCGAACCTAAAAGGTCTATACCGAGTATTTGAGCGATGCTGATGCGATGAAATCAATCCCCAACATGATAGCTATGCACGGGCATGAAATCCATTAATTAACGATATCCCGGACGATCAATACAAAACTAATATCAAATCTAGACACTCTTCTCGTTGCCGCGGAGCTAAGTGTTGGAGCTAGGATCTCGCGGCTGCAAACGTCACCATAACGCTTCGATCTAAAACTCGCTAACACGTCATAGATATCCGTACCATCGAGCAAACAGCCCTTAGAGGAAATAACCGTAACAACAAATAAAACCAAATGGCCGCCATGCATTCTCCAAGTGCAGCAAGCTTTTTAAGCGACGAATTGTGGTCCATCTCCCCTGGGATACTTGCGCCTCATCCTTTTACTTCGATATACCATGTCGCAACTAATTAATCGCATTCGCCTACCACGCGCATTTCGCCCTCCGGCCCAGATCAACGCAGAAGAAGGCACAAATGGACATCCAGAAACGAATCGTGGGAAAACGGCGCCCAAGGAAGCTGAGGATGGCAAAGAGAAATCGCAACAGTCTGACATGCAACCCGTGGGGTTCTGGCATCCCGATCTTCGACAAGTTCGAAATCGCGCTGTCGTAAAGTGGATCATCACGACGGCCTTCTTGATGGCATTCATTTTGGCTGTGCTATCGCTGTACTGGGCTGTGTTCTTCAAGGTCGAGAATAGGCTAAGCCATTTGCTGGTTTACGTTGTGGATATGGATGGAGCGGCGCCTTATGACAACACCGGGAACGCGCCTTTCGTTGGACCGACTATCACGCAACTTGTACAACAGCAGTTGAGCAGCGGCCAGCCGACGTTGGGATGGGGCGTCCGGCCTGGTTCAGATTTCAACAACGATCCGATACAAGTCCGACAGGCAGTCTACAATTGGGATGCCTGGGCTGCTATTATCATCAACCCCAACGCGAGCGCGCTATTGTACTCTGCTATCGCCAACGGCAACGCAAGTTACGATCCTCTGGGAGCGTGTCAGTTGATCTACCAAGATGCGAGAGATGATACCAACTGGTTTGATTTCATGTTTCCCATCATCAGTCAGTTCATGACCCAGGCACAAAGTATGGTCGGACAGCAATGGGCACAGATGGCGATGCAGCGTGCGAGCGATCCAGCAGTGCTTTCGAATATCCAAAATGCGCCCCAAGCCATCAACCCAGCGATTGGATTCTCCGAGTTCAACCTGCGGCCTTTCTATCCGTATACTGGTATCCCTGCCGTATCCATCGGACTCATTTGTAAGTTTGCCCGTACTCTCCACCCATAAATTGGCTAACCCCGTTTATAGATCTTATCATTATATCGTTCTTTAGCTTCTCCTTCTATATGCCCATTCACATGCAATACCTCAAGCCCGAGAACCACCCACCGCTCAAGTTTCCCCAGCTCATCATCTGGCGCTGGTGCGCTACGATATCCGCCTACTTTATGCTCTCCCTTGCCTACTCGTTCGTCTCGATGGCTTTTCAGATCAACTTCTGGCACACAAATTCCATTACCAGCGAAACACAAGTCACAAACATGATGGAGGGTAACCCAGTCGCTTATGGAAGTGGAACCTTTGTGGTATACTGGATGCTCAACTTCTTTGGCATGATTGCGCTGGGATTGGCGTGCGAGAATGTAGCAATGGTAGTGGGTATGCCGTGGATGGGACTGTTCTTGATCTTCTGGGTCATCTCCAACGTGTCCACTTCTTTCTACGACATTGAGATTGCCCCTGGATTTTACCGATGGGGATATGCTTGGCCTCTACATTCGAGTAAGCAATACCACTCACGACATGCCAGCGATGTCAGCTGCTAACATTTCATTGTAGTTGTCGAAGGGAGTCGGTCGATATTATTCGATTTACACTCAAGAATAGGTCTGGACTTTGGTATTCTGATCGCCTGGGGTGCAGTAAATACGCTGTTCTTCCCGCTCTGCTGTTGGTTCATGAGTAAGTTCTTGTGGCATATGAAGTCGCTTTTATATACTAATGTTAAGCAGGATGGAAAACACAGCATAATATCCATGAGTACTGGCCTCTGGACTAAACCGGATACGCCTCCCTAGTACATAGGACGTGTCCTTGCAGCTCTCTGGTTAGAGAATAAAATATTAATACTGATCCTTGAGTTATCTTTACTTTGCTGGCTGAAGTGCTTGTCCGTCTGCACACGTCTATATTGCAACATACATGAATATTTAGTAGGAAGAATATCATTGTAGTATAACGAGGGTATCTAATCTTCATGTTCATGGTCGGACCGGAAAAACTCCACGCTGTTCAAAGGTTGTATATCAGTCATAATTCATAACTCATCTCTCGCTTCATGGTTGCGTCGTCTTGATTGCAGCATCTTTCAAAGGCCCATGAACACTTTCCTCGCTCTGGCGGCCTGCAGGAATGCTCCGTAGCTCCATGTCAGGTCCTCAGCGCCCCTCATATAACCTGTCACACGATCGAACTGCTCACTCATGCTACCCTCAGCATCAACGTGCGTCTTGATGACCTCGAGAAACTGATCGCCCGTGGTGTGCAATCGCTCAATAACGGAATGA